TCCCTACAAATAAAAGTCCAGGACCAGACGGCTTCCCTGGGGAATTCTACGAAACATACAAAGAGAATCTGATACCAGTCCTTCTCAAACTCTTCCAGAAGATTGAAAAGAAGAGAATACTCCCAAACTCATTCTATGAAGCCACCATCACCCTGATACCAAAACCGGGCAAAGACACTACCAAAAAAGAATATTATAGGCCAATATCACTCATGAACATAGATGCCAAAATCCTCACCAAAATATTAGCAAATAGAATACAACAACACATAAAAAAGATTGTACATCATAATTAAGTGGGGTTCATCCCAGGGACACAAGGATGGTTCAACATACTCAAATCAATGAATGTAATATATCACATCAACAAGAGAAAGAAAAATAACCACATGATCATCTCAATAGATGCAGAAAAGGCTTTTGATAAAATTCAACACCCATTTACAGTAAAAACTCTTACCAAAGTAGTTATTGAGGGAACATATCTCAACATAATACAGCAATATATGACAAACCTACAGCAAGCATAGTAATCAATGGTGAGAAACTCAAAAGCTTCCCACTAAAATCTGGGAAAAGACAATGATGTCCACTATCACCACTCCTATTCAACATAGTCTTGGAAGTCCTAGCCATAGCAATCAGGCAAGTGAGAGAAATAAAAGGGATCCAAGTTGGAAAAGAAGAGGTAAAAGTGTCACTATATGCAGATAACATGGTACTATATATAGAAAACCCTAAAAGTCCACACCAAAACTTCTAGAGCTGATCGAAGAATTCAGCAAGGTAGCAGGTTACAAGATTAACACTCAAAATTCAGTGGCATTTCTTTACACTATCGATGAATCAACAGAAAAAGAAAGTAAAAAATGAATTCCCTTTAAAATAGCACATAAAGTAATAAAATACCTAGGAGTTAATCTAACCAAGGAAGTGAAATAGTTATTCACTGAAAACTATAAAACACTGATCAAGGAAATTAAAGAAGGTTTAAAAATATTGAAAGATATCCCAAGCTTCTGGATTGGAAGAATCAATATTGTTAAAATGGCCATACTGCCCAAGGCAATCTACAGAATTAATGCAATCTCTCTCAAGTTGCCCAGGACATATTTCACTGAAGTAGAACAAACCATACGACAGTTTATATGGAACCACAAAGATTTAGAATTACCAAAGAGTTACTGAAGAACAAGAAAGAGGCTGGAGGAATAACTCTCCCAGACGTCAAAGAATACTATAGAGCTACAGTAATCAATGGAGCATGATAGTGGTACAGAAACAGACATATGGACCAATGGAACAGAATAGAGAGCCCAGAAATGAACCCACAAACTTTTGGTCAACTAATCTTCGACAAAGGAGACAAGAATATACAATGGAATAAAGACAGTCTCTTCAGCAAATGGTGTTGGGAAAACTGGACAGCAGCATGTAAAGCAATGAAGCTAGAATAGTCCTTCACACCATACACAAAAATCAACTCAAAATGCATCAAAGACTTAAACATCAGACAAGATACAATAAACCTCCTAGGAGAAAATATAGGCAAAACATTTTCTGACATACATCTCAAAATGTTCTCCTGGAACAGTCTACTCAAACAATAGAAATAAAAGGAAGAATAAACAAATGGGGCCTAATGAAACTTTCAGGCTTCTACATAGCAAAGGAAACCCTAAGCAAAACAAAATGACAACATCCAGAATGGGAGAAAATTTTTGCAAATTAAACCAACAAAGGCTTGATCTCCAGAATATATAAGCAGCTCATACAACTTAATAAGAAAAAAACAATCAACCGAATCCAAAAATGGTCATAAGACAATTAACTTTCCATGGAAGAAATACAAATGATCAAAAGGCACATGAAGAAATGCTCAATATCACTAATTGTCAGAGAAATGCAAACCACAACTACGATATGGTATCACCTCACATCAGTCAGAATGGCCATCATACAAAAGTCCGCAAATGACATGCTGGAGAGGCTTTGGAGAAAAGGGAACCCTCCTGCTGAGGTGAATGCAGTTTGGTGCAGCCCCTGTGGAAAACAGTATGGAGTTTCCTCAAAAGACTAGGAATAGACTTACCATATGACCCAATAATCCCACTCCTAGGCATATATCCAGAAGGAAACCTACTTCAAAAAGACACCTGCATCCCAATGTTCATAGCAGCACTATTTACAATAGCCAAGACATGAAAACAGCCTAAATGTCCATCAATAGATGAGTGGATAAAGAAGTGATGGTATATTTATCCAATGGAATAGTATTCAGCCAGAAAAACTGACAACATAATGCCATTTGCAGCAACATGGATGCTCCTGGAGAATGTCATTTTAAGTTACATAAGCCAGAAAGGGGAAGAAAAATGTTATATGAGATTGCTCATATGTGAAATAAAAAAATATAAATACAAAACAGAGACAGACTTATAGACATAGAATGGAAACTTTTGTTTTCCAGGTGATGGGGGGTGAGAAGGGACAGACTGGGATTTCAAAATGTAGAATAGATAAGCAAGATTGTCCTCTGTATCACAGGGAAATATATACAGGTTCTTGTTGTGGCTCACAGTGAATGATAATGTGACAATTAATATATATATATATATATATATATATATATATATATATATATATATAATATATATATATATATATATATATATATATATATATGTTCATGTATAGCTGAAGAATTGCACCCTACACTGGAATTTGACACAACATTGTAAAATGAGTATTATTCAATTTTAAAAAGTTTAAAAAAATAAAAGAAAATAACCAAAACATTAACAACCAAAATGGCTATCAACAGATGGTTGGATAAAGATATTTTATATATATTAATAATGGAATACTACTCTGCCATAAAAAGGATGAAGTGTTGCCTTCTGCAGCAATATGGATGAATCTGGAGATTCTTATTGTAAGTGAGGTAGATCAAACCAAGACAAATATCATTTGATATCACTTATATGTAGGATATCAAAAAATGGCACTAATGAATTATTTTACAAACAGAAACAGACTCAGAGACATAGAAAGCAAACTTATGGTTTTCAAGGAAGAAGAAGGGAGGGATAAATTAGAAGTTTGTAATTCCAGATACTCACTATTATATATAAAATAAACAACAAGTCCTAGTTTTTAGCATAGGGAACTATATTTAATATTTTGTAAGAAAGTATAACAGTAAATAATATGAAAGAAGTATATATATTATATGTGTGTGTTACTGAATCAATATAATTTACAACAGAATCTAATGCAACATTGTAAATTAACTGTACTTCAATTAAAATAAATAAATAAACATAGTAATGGCAGTGTTAAAAAAAACACTCTTTCATATGATACCTGCAAAAATCACTTCAGTAACAGCTTGAGAGAGTGGGATTGGATAAAGGTATTTTATGCAAATAAAATTGAAAAAAAGTTGAGTTAGCTATACATAAGACAAAGTATACTTTAAAATCTTATCACAAATACAGGGAAGGGCATTATATGATAAAAAGGAGATCAATAGAAGGAAAGAATAGAACATCTGTAACATTTATGCACCCAATACAGGAACACCTAAAGATATATAGCAAATATTAACATTCATAAGGGGAGAAATTGACAATAATACCATAATAATAAAGATTTTATTACCCTACTCACATAAAAGAATAGGTCATCCACAGAAACAATAAGGTAACAGTGAACTTAAATTACAGAAAAAAAGTTTGATTAACATCTGTAGTACACTACATCTTAAAACAGCAGAATATACATTCTTTACAAGTGCACATGGAACAATTTCCAGGATCAATCTCATGCTAGGCCACAAAACATGTGTCAACTTACTTAGGAATATAGAAATTATATCAAACATTTTTCCAACCATAGCAATATGAAACTAGAAGTGAATTACAAAAAGGAAAATGGGAAAAGCACAAACATATGCAGCCTAAATCACATGCTACTTGAAAACCAATGAGTCAATAAAGAAATCAAAGAGGAAATCAGATAATACCTCAAGACATGAAAGTGGAAACACAAATTTCCAACATTTATGGGATGCATCAAAAGCTGTTGTAAGAGGGAAGTTTATGTTGATACAAGCCTTCCTAAACAAATTTTTAAAATCTCAAATAAAAAAGTAACCTATTGTCTAAAGAAAATAGAAAAAAAAACTAACAAAGCACAAAATCAGCACATGAAAGGGAATAGTAAGATCAGAGAAGAAATAAATAAAACAGAGACCAAAATATAATAGAAAAATATTTTAAAAAACACAATACCTCATTTCTTGAAAAGGTTAAAAAAATTGGTAAGCTTTTAACCAGACTCATCAAAAAAAAATTAGAGAGAACTCAAGTAAAATAAGAAATGAAGGAAGAGAAATTACATCCAAAAAAAGAGGTAAACAAAAATCATAAAAGAATACTATAAGGAGTTATATGCCAATAAATTGCACAATCTAGAAGAAATGGATAAATTTCTAGAACCATAAAATCTTCCAAGTCTCAATCAGGAAGAAATAGACAATCTACCAGACCAATAATTAGTAGTGAAATTCAATCAGTTAAAAAAAACACTCCAAGAAAACAAAAGTTCTGAATTGGAAAACTTCACAGGGAGTATTGCCAAACATAAAGAAGAGCTAATACCTGTCCTTCTCATACTGTTCCCAAAAACTGAAGAAGATAGATCACTACCAAATTCATTGTATAAGGCCATCAGTAACTTGATATCAAAACCAGACACTACAAAGAAGAAATTTTCAGGCCAATATTCCTGATGAATATACATGCAAACTTCTCAAAATATTAGCAAATCCAATCCAACAATGTATTAAAATGATCACACACCATGATCAAGTGGGATTTGCTCCATGGAAGCAAAAATGTTTTAATATCTGCAAGTCTAACAATGTGACACACTACATAAAAACAAAAGACAAAAAACAAAAAACACATGATAAAAATCATAGTAACTTTAGGTACCTGTGTAAGCAAAGTTGAAAGGCCTTGTCAGAGGAACATGGTGCTTGGGAGCCACTGTGGGATGGGAGGGATATAAGAAGATGCCATCATCACCTAGCATCTCAGTCAGTTCTTTATGCAGGCTTTCTTCTACTGCCTTAAATTTTCTGTATTTCTCATAGTTATATTTGAGCTTTTCTTCCAACAAGGCCAGTCCTATAGATTGATGACATACAGACTTTAAGGTATGAAATTTAATTTTTAAATCTTAATGTTTCTTATCTTTTCTTATTCAAGTAATAGATACTCATTCTAGAACACTGAGAAAGTAAAATCATGATGAAAAAGAAACATTATAACCTTGCTGCCCATAGATGAGCATTGCTGATCATTTAATGTGAACTCACTCTTTTTTTTGATAATGTTATAAATAGAGTTCCTAGCCTCTCTCAAAGAATATTACACTGTAAAAATTTGTCATAATCCTGAAAACTATCATAGACATGTTTATATTCTGACTGCATAATATTTTAATTGTAAAAATGTACCATTTTTCTTTAACTATACCATGATTGTTCAGTATATAGACTATTTCTATAATTTAAATGCTGCAATAAACATCTTCATGTACATAATTCTTAGCAAAATCTTATAATACAATTATATTTTAGAGGATTCTAATTTATCTTCAATTTTAAATTATTTTATAATAAAGAATATAAATGCATACATATGTACACATCCTAAATACTTTGTATGCAATATTTATTTATTTAAAAATAAAACCTACATAAAAATATTCATCTCTTCAACAATTTCATAAACTTGATCTTAAATGACTGCATAAAATTTTATCCTATATATGAATCATAATTTACTACCTATTCCTATTTCATTAAACATTTAGGGTGGTTCCAATTTTGGGTTATTTTAAAACATACTGCACTGTACATCCCTATGAATAAAATGTTTACTATAGTTTGGAATTTTTTAATCTTAAGTGTCTGACTCCTGGCCACACTCCCCATGAGTGATTTTCTGGGAGTGGCCATGGGCAATTATAAAGACATTTCCTTGTGAAGACTCAAGGGGGAAAGCTGCCTTCCCCAAACCAGACATTGTGCATTGAAACTACACTATAATCTCCATAGGGTGTTGCAGTCAAGGACTCAGGCCTCTCTGGCCTATTATGCTCTTGTGTATATTTGCATTTCTAGCCAAAGCACCTTCACTCCTATATCTCTTTATCTGAGGCCCACGGCAGAGTTCTTCTTCTGATGTCTCTGCTAAGGCCTCTTTATGGGCAAACAGGAGCTAATCTTAAAAACACTTTTCCTCACTCTGATTTTACACTCAGAACTTGCCCACTCCATTTACACTATAGTCACTGAAAGCACCATAATCATTGAAAGCACAGTGTCTTTCTTCAACAATAGAGTAATTTCTGATAGAGACCTCCTTCATAGAGCTATGTGATAAAATAACAATAATGAAAAGAGCTTCTATTTATTGAAATTTTATGTTGTTCCAAGGTCTCCATTTCCATCTTCAAAAATAAATTAGAAATTCCCAGTACATGCATGGTTAGGTTTTATCTTACATGTTTTAGATGCATAACCTCATTTAACTGGCAAACAATGCAAGAAAATATATATTATTTAATACGTTCAATCACATAAGTAGTAAATACTTTTTCTAGTTCTATTTCATAGATGAAAAAAATGAATCACTTACAATATAACCATCTGAATGGAGGTTAAGCAAGCTAGGATCCAGAAAATTTAGGATTAGACTCCAGTCTAGAATAAGTTAACTAATCTCTTTTAGCTTCAGTTTCTCACTAAGAAAAGTTAACAATATTTATACTATCAGCCTCTCCTGAGTGTATAAGGGGATAACACATACCAAAAATCTAACATTTGGCATCCAGGTACTCAATGAGCATTTACTTAAAATAACAGTAATTACCAACTCTTCAACAAGTGTCCATAGCCACACTAATTTTCTGCTTAGCTGCTTCAACTTAACTAACTCTCATAAAAAATATTTAACATTTTGATAGGCTAACTTACCAAATTTTTCTGAATGGGCCTATCCATAAAGTCAAATATATTTTCCAAAATTTATGTTTAGCTATTGAAATACAATACATGACACAGAGAAAGCATCATAAGTATTTCAGTTTATAAGAAGCATTTGAAGTGCATTCCTTAAGTTGGTAACCATCTAACATTTCTGAATTAATGTTTATAAATCTATAAAATGGTCATCATAATAGACACATTGCAAATTGGTATGATAAAGTGCACAAGAGAGTGCTTGATGAATAGTGAGAGATCAGTATATAGTTGGTACTGATTCATTTATTTACATATGTCAGCTTTCTTCAAAACTCCACAAGTGGTTCTTATTAGTATACTTTTGGCAGGATGCTCTTCCCTACCCCAAAGTCATTAAACTGGTCTCCAAATAAAAGATGATTTATATACCAATGGAAGGGATGGTGTGTACTGATAGGCCCAGACACCATTTGATCAGTTCCCACAGAGGCTTGATAGGCTTCCCATGGTCACCAAGCAGGTCCACAAATTTCACAGGTTCCTGAGATGAATAAAATAAATAAAATATATGTATTCTCTCAGAAAACTATGGTTAAGACAAAAATGTATACAGGAATTTTCATAGAATCACTATTAATAATAGCCATATAGCAATCAAATGATGAATGGATAAATAAAATGTATCAATATGATAGAATATTTTTCAGCTGTAAGAAGGAATAAAATACTGATACATTGCTACAACATGGATAAAACTTGAAAATGGTGTCAAGTGAAAGAAGCCAGTAACAAAACATCATACAATGTATTATTATTCCATTTACTTGAAATGCCCAGAATAAACAATTTCAAAGGGACAGGAGGTAGGTTAGTTTTACTTAATCCTGGGACGTTGGTAAGGAGATTGGAGACAGTGACAACTAATGAGTATGGCCTGTTTTGTGGTGATGAAAATGTTCTAAAATTGAATGTGGTGATGGTTGCTCTATTCTGATAATATATTAAAATCATTGAATTGTATATTTGAAATGGACAGTTTACATGGTATGTAAATTATAACTCAATAAACCTCTTATAATAAAGCAGCTACATTGCCATTAAAAATATGGTTGAGAAAATGACCACATCTCTTTCTCAAGGTAAACGTTTCAAATACCAACCACATAATCTACCTGCTCTTCAAATATGAACTATTAGTGAGAAATCTGGTAAAGTTCTTATGACTACCAGTTTTGAGTCAGGCATCATAATTTAAGGTGAGAGGAGAGCAACTTTGTTCTCCCCTTTGTCTCATTTCAGGTTCTTAATTTCAAGAAAAGTTTTAACAATTAGTACCTATGTTAAAAATTTCTCTGAGTTACAAGAGAGCATCTTCTCCAAGTGAATTCAGAATGAACATATTTGTTACTAATCTTGCTTCAGTTTTGGTATAATACTCTTCTTATAAACCTACATTTCAGAGCCAAACATCCTTACCTTGCAGCTTTACATAAACTAATTATTCTGAGAGATTTCCAAGGATCTTATATAAAGAAACAGGCTATGCATTTCTTAAACATAAGCATACTGACTGAGATTTTATTTTTCTTAAAGTAGAAAAGGATCATGAGAGTTCTTCCTTATTGAAGGGCTACTATATGTCAGGCATTTTACAAGAAATATTCTTCATCCACAAAATAATTCTGTAATAGTGTATTAATAGCTTAATTTCACAGAATAGTAAAGTGAAGAATAGATAAGAAAAAAACACTTAGGAAGTGGCTCATGATTTTAATTTGTGTCTGTCACACTCTAACACACATTGCTGTCTGCAATTGTATGTACAAAAATTTAAATATTTGAAAATAAATGTTCTATCTTTTCATAATGTCAAAGACAATTTATTTATTTAAAGAGTTCATATTTAAAATCTCAACAAGCCTGAATAAAACATAAATAAAGTGTCTTTCACATGTATCCATATCAACTTCCACTCAGCAGATATTAACAGGAGGGGAAAATAGATAAAAGAAAAGCAGATAACTGCATGTGTGTGTGTCTAAAATACCTCTGAGAGGAGAGGAAAACTGGGGTATTCACAGTTGGGGTTACCGAATCACTTTATGCTTTATTAAAACCTAAATTCTCTGATCCCTAGCACATGCCATACTCAGATAAACCTCACAAACCTGTACCCTTTTCAATCATGATATCTTCTCTGCCTGGAATACACTTTAATCCCTTTTTTAACTGGTTAAGTCTTCCAAATAATTCAAGTACTGTGGGATAGCAAATCCTCCACCAGGAATATTTCACTAACTACCATATATAGATGAGCCCATTCTCTGTGATCCTACAACATATATTTGTACAGTATGTCACTCACTGAATCATGTAGCTTTTAATTATTTAACTCTATCACCTGTTTTCCTTAAGAATTTTATTTCTCAATATTTATAATGTATGACTCACAATAGAAGACCAATAAATACTTACAGGAGGAGAGAATGGAGGAAGTAATAAAAGAAGTAAACATACCTTCCCATCATGTCCCTTTGCAGACATCATTGTGACCCATAACTGAAAAGAATATTTCATTTGCTTCAGTTTAACATGTTGGACTGAAACTCCTAACATGGTTTCCAGGTGAGCTACAACCTTAAAAAATGAAGATATAAAAATATGCAAACATGATTAGGAAAAGAAATATCACTGGAGAGTGATATCAGAAAGATGGCAAACAAAGAAGCTCTACACCCTCATTCCTTCATGGAAACAACAAACCAAAGTAATTGTGTGACTCATGAAAATCAATTAAGAATCTACAGTCAAAAATCCACAAATGAAAAATGCTGGAGAGGTTCTGGAGAAAGGGGAACCCTCCTACACTGCTGGTGGGAATGCAGTTTGGTGCAGCCACTATGGAAAAAGTGTGGAGATTCCTCAAAAGACTAGGAATAGACTTACCATATGACCCAGGAATCCCACTCCTGGGTTTGTATCCAGAAGGAAATCTACTTCAGGATGACACCTGCAACCCAATGTTCATAGAAGCACTATTTACAATAGCCAAAACATGGAAACAGCCTAAATGTCCATCCACAGGTGACTGGATAAAGAAGAAGTGGTATATTTATACAATGGAATACTACTAAGCCATAAAAACTGACAACATAATGCCATTTGCA